TTGTGATCAGGACTTACCATTCAATCTTTCTAACAATGAAGTAAGGGTTTACAAACCTTTTAACACCCAAGCATAAAGGTTTCTATGTATTTTCATATTGGCCTATAAGGAGCTGTTTATACTCTGTGAGAAAAAGACATGGATCCCCTTAGAAACCCCCTGAAAGTTCCCAGATCTCAGTTTGAAAATCCCTGCCATGGACTAGCCTACTATAAGATTTTGTGTGAAACTTAAATTAAAACTTGCTGCTGACTACCAGTATTGTTATATAGTTAACGAAAACTAAAACAATTTTTAAAAATTTATACTTGAAATAAAATAAACATTAACAAATAAAATAAAATGTAAAAAAAAACAAAAAAAAACGTAAACTAATTTTATTTCAGTTAGTTGCCAAAGCATGATTTCTTATTTTTGTTTAGTTTAAATTGAAGTGCTAAAATAAAAAATACCCCCCCCCAAATGAAAACGAATACACAAAAAATTTATAAAACTATGTTGACATAAAAAAAAAAAATGAAAAAAAAACATGCACAATCACCAAAAAATATCTCAAATTAAAGTGAAAACAAAATATAACGATACAATTCAAAATATGAACAAAAATTATAAAGTATATCAATGATACTAAAATAACACTAGTGAACACTTTAATGTAAGGGTGTCCAAACCTGTCCTGCAGAGTTTGGCTTCCACCCTTAACCAGTTAATCAAGGTCTTCAGACTTACTAGAAACTTCTAGGCAACTGCGATGGAGCTAAAATCTGCAGGATGTTGGCCCTCCAGGAGCAGAGTACTTTAATGTGTTTATAAAGGTCAGATGAGGCCAAAGCTATCATATTTGATAACTTGTGCCGAGTGATCAATGTATCTTTATTTATGCTCTTGGCAGATGATTCTATATTCCATAAAGCATAAAATAGATTAATCATGGATACAAGGCCCTATAAATCTCAAATATTTTATTTTTTACTTGGAAATATCCATTCAACTGGTTCTGCAGTAGGTCTTAGACATTTGGGTCCATTTGACTGTGAGTCGGATTTTTGCTGATTCACTGCAAAATGCAGCAAGCTATAATATTTCAGCACCATTACTGTTTTAAAACAGTGTGCTTTATATGAACAAGCCCTATGTATTTTCACAGTCTTAACAAACATACATACACACAAGCGCTCTCTCTCTCTCACACACACACACACACATACACACACATTGCACCATCTGCCCCCCAAATTCAGCCATATTCCCCTGAGTTACATACCAAGCCAAGTCCTTCACCTGGACACCTTCACATTAACAGTAAGAGTCCTCGTGCTCCTCTGTTTCGCCGCTGCACAACCTGCTGCTGTTTTATCCCAAAAGATCCCAAATGTAAATTCTCCTCCTTCCTGTTGCTAAGCAAGTTATCTTGATCTGTTACTTGCCAAAACAATAGTATATATATTTTTTTAGAATACTGTATGAAAAAGAGCGACGCTGTTGATGCTACCAATGTCCTTCTATTCTTCAGATATGTGAGATGCTCTTCTGAAAGCAAATAGAGCACTTGGTTGAGGTTGAGCTTGGGTGGGAGTTGCTCAGCAGCTAGCCCACATGTGAATGAGGAGGCATTTTTTAGATTTTGTCTATGAGAGAGACAGCTAACGACCTGATAATAGATGTTGCCCTGACTTGTCTTCATGTGTTGGATTTTGAAACCTCTCTTTATTTCAATAGATTTTTAAATGTCAACACTTCATGTTTCAAATGATGATATTATATTATTTCCTACACAGGATACAAGTCTGACTGTTACAGACACTTTTGGTCATTAGATGGCGTTTCAGCCCTGTCTATGTGACTGGTTGTCTGATCTTCCTTAGTATCTTTTCTTCAGAAGAAATCGGACTTTTAATATTAATGAATGCACGTTGGTTTAGTTAGGGATAAAAATACATAATAACATTTTATAAAATACATTTGTTACATCTTGCCATAGTTAGCTTCACTTAGCTCAAAATACTCTTAAATTAGAAATGCAATAAAAAATATATAATAATATATTTTTTTATAATAGCACTTGAGTAATTGAGTAATTTTATGTAAATGTATTAATCACAACTTAGGTAAATGCATGCTTCTTTCCAGGGCAATGCAAAATATATCCTGAAAAATATTAACTGAAATAAAAACTGTGACAACTAACCCCTGTCTCCACCATAACAAAACAAGAACAAGATATATATTGGCAAGACAACACTAGTTCATTTTTCCGTAGTTATCCTCTTGTTTTTGGTGAACTGAACATTACTATTCCAACTGTGATTATAAAGGTATATTGGCAAGTAGCAGTTTATTTCTGGCTGTATGTAGTATGTGTATTTAGCGTGAAAAACTTCACAGTAATCCAGCAGCTTTGGATGCAACTGAGAAGAATCCCTTCTTGTACTGCTGCTGATTGTGTGTATCTCTGTGCGTCTTACTGCTCCATGTGTCAGTAACACAATAACCTGCTCTGCCTCAGTGCTTCTCAGTCTTGCAGGACACAGCTGAAGCTAATATGCTATTTATGAGTCATTGTGTTGAAAAATCAAAGGAGATGCTTGCGTCCCATAGCCTAACAATAAGGGAGACAAATGACAGCATCTCTGTTGCCATGAGCCACAAGGACACACAGGGAAAATACAATAGCCTCTGAATGGAGAGCTGTTCTGGTCTGTAAATTAACACTCGCCAGCTGTAGACCCACACATGTCTATCACTAATAATAGCTGTCTGTAACGTAACCATGTAGGCAAATTGTGAATCATTTTATTCACCTAGCCTATCTGGTACACCCTAATTCTGACTGGACCATCGTGGTATTCAGTGGTCTGACTTTTTTTAATAATGGCCACACTGTATATCAGACCACTTTTTGGGGGAACTGAAGCTGACTCTAAATTCATGTCTCTATTATCACACCCCTGATCAATTGTTTTATATATAAACAGAACTGGTGACAGTCATTGGCTGCAGTGAAAATAATATCTTGTCCCTTACAGTGAAAATGTTTTGTTGCTATAGGGCAATTCTTTTATTCATTGTAATGGACAACTTTTTTTTCTTAGTGGTTTTAGGATAATATATAAAATTGTTTGAAATCAATATTTAAGTATTTAATTCTGTACTAATGTGGGAAAAAGCAGGGAAAATGTACAGCTAGCTGTTTACTGTCTCAAAATAAACCTCTTCAAGAAGAAACAAAGATCTGAGCATCTGTTGTATGAAAATTAAAATGGAAACTATATCAGTAATCACACATACAGTAGGTCACAGTGTTATATTTGTGTTTACTCCATCTATATCACATCACATATATGATGTAAACACTTTATTTAAAAGCATTTACCAAATAACTACTAACCAAAATCAACTCAAGAGGATCTGAGAAATTTCCTAGAATATAAGCCACATAAACGTTTTACACATGTAATGTGTTCTTCATCCTGACTGAGCTGTAGATCTGCCATTTACAATGACACTGGTGATCCAAAGACTTTTCTCTTTCCAGCTGTTGCTATAATCCATTTTTTAAGTAAATCTGCACATTCAGAGTTTTCTGGCTGCAGCTGTGTCTTGATAAGAAGGTGCAGCTTTAACTGAGGCGGTTGAGGTTAATTTTGATGTTTATTTTTTCTACCAACTGACAGTGAGTTTTAGACCTTGTGGATGTGCACTGACACAAAACAAATCATTGACATAAGTTTATGTGAAAAAA